CGGACCGGACCGGCCGGTTGAACCGTGAACCAGTGGCCTGTCTGGTCCGATTAACTTCCAAAACCAGTTTTGTAATGAACTGGCTAAGAACCGATAAAACCGGTGTGAACCAACTGAAAACCAGCAAAACCGATGTGAACCGTAGTTTCTGTTTTTTTTCTTTAAACAAAATTAAACCAAACGACGTCGTTTGTTAAACGAGCCGAGTCGAACTCGACTATTGTTCAGCTCAACTCAAACTCGAAAACTTTAAAAGTAAGCTCAACTCGACTCAAAAACTCGCAAGCTAAAAATTATCAAGCTCAACTCAAACTCGAAATATAATATTAAAAATTGAACTCGAAAAGGCTCGAACTCAAAAAAAATTTAGAAACTCGATTGAAGCCTAAAACTCAAGCTCAATTGAAGCGAAAGAATAGTTCGCTCTGTGCTCACCAAAAGGCTCCATGATTTTGAATGCCAAATTACCTCTATTATTTACAGAAGTCGGTTGGGATGCTCTTCTATGTTTCTTAGCCATGTGGGATTGTTTTGTTCTCCTATTTTTACTCTTTAGACTTTTGGGATGCTCTTCTAAGTTTCTTAGCCATGTGGGATTGTTTTGTTCTCCTATTTTTGCTCTTCTATTCTCTTTAGATGTTTTTCTGTAGTGATGTATATATTAATATTACTTTGAATATTATGTAAAATTTTAAAAATATATATTATTTTATATAATCCAGTTCAACCATGTTGAACTAGTGAAACAGTACCTTTACCGGTTTAAGGTCCGGTCCGGTTTTAAAAATACTGGTTTTTAGGCTTACCCTTAGAGGGTATTTATAGCCTTCAAAAATCCTAAAAACAAGGAAAAATATAATTCCTAAAAATAAGAGATAATTCTTATAGATAATTCTTAAAAACATTTAAACTAAAATCCTAAAACATAAGTTTAATTTGAATTCGACTTTCAGAAATGTGTGGCTGATCAATTCGTATTTCTAGAAGCGCTGACTAGACCTTCTAGAAGGTGTTGACTCATTGCCTCATCAGATGCGTCATGCTCGTAGTCATTCCCACTAATCCAGACTTGATTCTGAAAATAAAAAAACTACAGAATTATGTCATTTTAGTGTAATTTTTAGAATCTAGTGTCCTGTATAAAAAATGAATCAAAACAAACAATACAACCACAAAAACTAACAACTAAGGAGAAATTTAAAGGAAAAATAATAATTAAATAAAGAACCTATCAAATTCCCCCTCACTTATTCAATGCTTGTCGTCAAGCATTCCTCAATTAACATGCCAAAGTCACAAGTTGCCATCTTTGATTTAAATTTATTGCTCAAACTTCCAATCGAACTAAGTCCGTGTCAGTTGTCGAATTCAAGGTACAATCAAGAAAAGACACAACTACCAAGAATTTTAGCAAGAAAGACATCCCAATTATTTGCCAACATCAATAAACATAACTCAATACCTCACAAAGATTCACACATTTTTTGCTCAAAGTGTTTAGGGTATAATGAAATCGCTCAAAGCAAAACTAATCAAGATACTACCAAAGGCTTGGAATCTAATCAAGTCTCCACTACTAAAAGTGAACATAATGTAATAATTAAAGGGTCTTTAAATCAAGGTGTAATGCGCCTTAGGTTAACGTAGGGAAAATTCCATGATATTGATTTAAGTACCAAGACAAGAGATTTACAAAATATTCCTAAAATAAAAGTAAAAATATTAACATATAAAAACATAAACATAAATATCTTTTTTTCAATATTTTTTCCTTTTTCACCCTTTTTTCGTTTTGCTTCTTTTTTTATTGATGTTTTATGCAGTGTACTACTGTTCAAACCATTTTTTTCAAATATAAAAATGACAAAAATAATGAAATAATAAAAATAAAGAACATATATCAATGTAAACAACTAATCTACTTGTCTTGATAAGGGTAGAAAAGATGGATAAAAATAAAGGTTTGGGTTTAATTATGTGGTAAAAACAAAGAAAAAGGATAAAGGCTCAAAATATGGTTCACTAGTGAATATATATAAATGGGTAAGCTTTTTGGGAAAAGTGGGCTTAATCCTAAGTGCCCCTATTACATTAAAACATTACGCCAAACATGTAGTCTCGATATGCATTATGATTACAAGTTCTAGAATATCATAACTAGTCCGGTGCACTCCAGTTAACAATGAGCAAGAAAGAAAATTTTTGTTCGTTACACTCGAATCTCACAAGAAAATGCTTATATGTACTGAGTCAAGTTCATCTCCATCAACAAATGCATGAAATATCAACACTTAGCAGAAAATCATTAGCTATACCAATCACCATCATGCAAATTAAGTTCAATCAAAACATGGTCACAATCCAAAAGGAAGCAAGAGTATAAAGTGAATTTCAAGAATAGCAACTAAAGATTCCAACACATCAATATCAGAACTACTCAATTCCAAACAATTAAATAAGCAAGCGAAAAATTTGATAACAAATTCTACCCCCTCACTTAGACCATATTGTCCCAATATGAATATAGAAGTACAAGAGAGGGAACAAAATTACTCCCCCATTTAATGGTGACCGCGACTGCGGCCACGGCGAGACGAACTCGATCGAAGATTTGAAAGGATCTCAGCTAAGTTAGCCTCAATGGAATCGTGGCGCCCATGATCTTCATGGATCTCACTGTACGGATGTTTGGACAGTGGTGGCTGTGGAGTAGTCCTACGGAGAAAAACTCACTGATTACGAGGCATGATAGTGTCACGCTGAACTATGTGAAGAATGTCGATGGTGCCGGCAAGGAGGCCCATTGTGTCAAAACACCTAGTATCCAAAGCATCCATTGAAAAAGTATAAGTAAATTGGGCAGTGTCAAACGTTAATGAAAACAAACCGGATGCAAGGTGAGTAATATAAGGCCTGAGAATAAGGGGGCTATCGGAGCGCACAACCCGCTCAAAGACGCGAGCGAACCAAAATCTCAAATTTACCTTAGTACCAGTTTGTATACACCATAAAAAGAACAATTCAACCTTACTTAGTGCGAACGTACTATCTTTACGTCCGGAATAATTGTATACTAATAACCGATGGATATAGCAAAGCGCGGGATCATGAATGTGTCATGTTTTAGTAGTGCGTGCATTGTACTAAACTCCTATCGATCCTGTGAGTGCCTCATAAGCTATGTCAGTATCGAAATCCTAAGGCATCTCAAGTAAAGTAGTCAGATATTTATGATCTTTGACATCCGTGACGAACCCCATAGAAAAAGTAAAACCATTCACAGACATTCTAAAGTACTAGATAAGCAATCGAAATAATATGGTGACCAAGATGAGCAAACAACAAACATGCAACATATATTAAAAAATGAAACTAAATGCCAGGACTGAGATGCAACAGTAGCAAAATCATAAGTTCCAATAAACAAATTCCAGATTAAAGTAAACATACATAAAAGGGAATAAATCAAAAATATATAAGACACAAGGCTTAGACAAGTAAAACACAGGAAGTAAAAAGGCTTAAGCATAGATTTCATAAATGAAAACATGGATTAAATCCCACAAAACGAAAACAACCGAGAATATTTGAAAAAATTAAACTCATCATGCATGAGAGCTTTTTTTGTTTTCGGCTTTTCCTTACTACTATCTTCTACAACCACCAGCCAAACGTAATACCCACACACCCAAATCATGCATCAACATAAAAAAGAGGAAGAATACATTCGAAAAACTAAAGGTGAATTGTATTAATATCCAAGAAATTACAAAGGTCATTTTAACCATTTTTGTGGTTCATTTGCCTATGTGGTCATATTTATTTGTAACTACGTTTTATTTAAGTTTATTTGGTTAGGTTTTTTTACTTTTTTTTTCCTTATATGGTCCATGGTGATCTTAAGTGACTAGTTTCTTGTGTTAATGGGTATAGAAAAATATTATTATTAGGTATTTTAGTTTACAATTGTGGTTATAAATTTTCATTACAATTTGGATATTTTTCTATTTTACTAATCAAGAAAAAAATGGCACTAAAAAGTCCTTTTATTCTCTATATAATTAAAACATCATACATGACTTGAATTAAAAACATTGGTTTAACGCTAAAAAGGATATTAGCAGTGCTTGGTACTCTAGATTGTAGATCAAGCTGAAGTAAGTTCCTTAAGTTTTGCATTCAACATTGGTTTAGCACTGTTCAGATCAATTTCAACAGTTGACTTGTATCCTAGATTAGTGGCTTTTGCATGGTTGTCAGAGCTTTTCAGTAGTTCTTTGTAATAGTCCCAATTAATAATTCTGCGAGTAGTAATAGCACTATAGACCTGCAGTTGACAGAGTTTTTTAGTTGTTCGAATTGTTTCATTTGTTTGTTAATATCAAATTAATACCAAGAGAAAAAGAGGAGATAGGATCCATGGAAACTTAAATGAGGAGTTTGGTCCGTGTAAATAATTGAATAGATGCATACATTATTGTCCTCATCACACATATTCCTCCAAGCAACAACCCACTTAATGTTTTCTGTAATAAGAAACACAGCTGCGCCTTCCGAGGATGTGACATTGGGATCGGCCAAGTGCTGAAAATGTTGTATCTCCGACGACGGAACATGTACCGGCTGCTTTCCATATCCGTACCAATCTATTTTATCATACGTGCTGACATTTTGGTTTGGTTTGATTGTTAAAATACACCTCTGTGGATATTGAAAGACCCACCTTACTGCTTGGAGGAAGTTCAGTATCTTCCTTGAATTTTGCATTCAAGTTTGGCTTACTACTGTAGGGATCAATGTCAACAATTGACTTGTATCCTAGATTAGTCGCTTCTGCATGGTGGACAGAGTTTTCCAGTTGTTCTTTGTAATAGTCCCAATTAATAGTTCTGCGAGTAGTAATATCAGTATAGACCTGCAGTTGAAAGAAATTAGATTTATGTGAAATTGTTTGTTAGTGTCCAAAGAATAAGATCCAAATTGAATTGCTGTATGTATACCTTATTGTCTTCATTAGCCATATTCCTCCAGGCAACAACCCACTTAATGTTTTCTGTGATAAGAAACACAACTATGGCTTCCGACGAACCGAACTCAGGATCGGCCAAGTGCTTAAAATATCTTACCTGCAGCGGTGGAACATTTAGCGGCTGGATCCCATGTCCATACCAATCTTTTCTATCATATACGCTTAAATTTCCATCGGTTCCATTGGAAAGATACACATCTGTAGCTATTGCAGGACCCACCGTGCGTGGAGCAGCCATCGTCTTTGATATTTTTGAAATAGATAACGCTATTGCTTTGGTTGTGTGCATTTTACAAAGTGTCCTACATATATACCAGTTTGCTGCCCAGAAGATGACAAAAAGTGTTGAGCATTACTATATTGCAAGACTAAATATTTCAATATTAGCATTTCACGTGTATCACCCACATGTTGGTTTTACTTCAATTATTTTATATGTGCTGGTAATAACTACATTGTAACACTACACTCAAATATTTATAAAATAATATTCTTGAGATCGAAAATAGTTGGCATAATGTCAAAATTAACCCCATCGTTTATTAAAATAGTCATTTTACCCCTTATTCTATTTTTTGGAATATTTTAGCCCCAACGTTTTTGTTGCGAACAAAAAGGCCCCTAACATTCGACAATATAATCACTTTATCTCATATTCTTTCTGTCTTGAACATTTTAACCCTTACCGTTTTATTTTAAGTTTAAAAGACTCCTATTTTGGAGCGTTAATCGTGACTTCTCATTTGAAAGGTGTAAAATAGTTAATATTTATGAAACCAACAACTATTGCAGATTGTTTTCGACATTGCAAAATTCGATATGAGGAGGATATGTCTCTAGGAAGAAATTGATGACGTTGAAGGCATTCATAAATTAAAAGAAATAATTTATGATTTATACTATAGAAATACCATGGGTGTTGAGCAAATTTGGAATTATCCAAGTGAAAGTGAATCTCTGACGGAGTCACCTACAGATGAAGAAAATATTCAACGAGTAATGACGAGCAAGATACAAATGACGGTAGTGTTCCAAAAGAGGTTTTTCTAGTTGTGTATACCTTGAAGAATCATTTAATACAACACCAGCATAATATACAAGATTTCGTTTTTGTCATTCTAAAAGTTAAAAGAAAAAATTGTATTTCATTCATATGTAACGAAGAAGCAATTAACTATATATGCATATTTTAGCAAAAAATAAATTTGAAAAAAAAAATGAGAGTGGTCTAAAAAGTACTTTAGTTTTATATATTGTTATTTTATATTTTAACTATATATTTAATGAATTATTATTTTATATTTTCACTTGGTCCTTAAATTTTTTAAAAAAAATATTGTTATCTTATGTATTTAAGGAGATTATATTTTATCTCATTATCCTAAGTTGGAATAAAAAAATTATTATTTAATCGACCTAATTAATTTATTAAATACTTATTTATCAAAATTTTACTGTAAATATTTAATATTATCATTTGACATGTACGATCCACATGTTGATTTACTTCAATTATTTTATATTTGGTTGTTATAACTATATTGCAAGACTAAATATTTTAATATTATCATTTCACGTGCATGATGTACATGTTGGTTTTACTTTAATTTTTTATACGTGGTTGTAATAACTACATTGTAAGACTACATTAAAACCTTTGTAAAATAATATTCGTGAGATCCGAAAAATAGACATAATATCAAAATTAGTCCTAACGTTTATTAAAATTGTCATTTTGTTCTTATTCTATTTTTTTGGAGAATTTTGACCCCGAACATTTTATTTTAGGACAAAAAGGCCCCTAAAATTTGACACTATAATTACTTTGTCCCTTATTTATTTTTTCTAGGAAATTTTAACCATCAACATTTTATTTTAGGTTAAAAATGCTCTTATTTTGGAACGTTAATCATTTTATTAATTAATGATTTTCATCTATAGAGTGTAGTTTGTCCCAAAGAGAGACGTTGGGAGCTAAAATGCTCTGAAAAAAGAATAAGGGTCAAAATGACAATTTTAATAAACATTGGAGGTTACTTTTTATATTATGCTAAAAATATATTATTTTATCGAGATTATTAGTTTTTCCATAAATTAATAAATATTAATTTACATAATATTTGATACTTTATGCATGTGTTTTTTTAGTTTTATATGTTTATGTACACATATGTGTATGCCAAGTAATTATTGTTTTGCACGTTAAAATGTAAATAATGCATATATTTATGGTAAGTACATTCATTAATTTATTTGGCTATAAAATGTAAATATATGTACGTTGCGCATATCACCTACTTTATGTTTACTTAGTTTTGTTTATGTACATTAAGTTACATATATATATATATATATATATGAATACGTATTGTATATATATGTATGCTTTCTATATCTTATATATATGATGTATATTATATATATATATCGGCATTTAAGTATATGTTTTGCACCTTATGAATATATTTATAATGTATAGTTACATGTATGTATGTACTATATAAGTATCTTTCATATTAAGTAATAACAATTCGTATATAATATGCTCATGTCTTTTAAATTATATTTATTAATTTAATGTGTATAAAAGCATATGAATTTATTTGATTGTTGACACATGGATTTAATTGCTTGTACCTCTTAACTCAAAAAGTATGATATCCTCCTAAACATTACTTTACCACATCAAATAATTGGATTAAGGGTAATACCCTTGCATTTTAACATTATCGTGAGATGATTGTCTTAAAGTATAAGAGTGTCTCTCCGATAATTTTAAAACGAAAAGGTATTCCTACAAGTGAAACTTAAAAAAATTATTCTATCTAAAATTTAGATGGGAGGGAAAAAAGGAAATATTTATCTATTTAGATTTATCAAGACGATGATGTTTACACTTATAAAAAGTTTGGTCTCGATATTTATAAATAATTGAACATTCTTTATTCTTTCTAAAAGGATTGATAATTTATAACTAATTAATTTTATGTGTTTAGTGTTTTTTTTTTTTTATTCATGCATGATCTTGAAAAATGGATTAATAAAGAATTTTTTGAATAGAATTGTGATATTTTTACTTTCAATCGGAAAGAGAGTTGGCTGCTTTAACTCATAAGATGCCTTTTCTTCTCTATGGGAAATGGATAAATATCATATTTTTACTTCTTAAATTCAAGAATTGATAAATTGGAAGTTTTATGGTCATTTATAAAAGGGATATCTTGTTAAATTAAATTTAAATTTGTAAATTTTATTACAAAGACAACAACATAATCAATTAGGTATCAATTTTAGGGCGTCGTGACACGTAAACGACTCCCGAACTTATTTTCTAGTTAAGCAGACTACAAAATGTTGTTTTGTAAAAATTATTTTTTTATTAAAATGACAATTTTTTGGGTGATCCAATCACACCTTAAACAAAGGTTGGTGGTGACTACTCAAACCACTATTTTTCGATTAAAAATGAGAACCCCAATTTAAGTCAAACAAACCCTAAAACAATTTGTTTTGGATTTTTTTGGATGTGATGACAATTAGCATCTGTCACGTGCAATACTCTAATTTTGTCTCACTTTCTGAAGCCTTATACCCATTTTATTGCATCCAATTTTCGAATAAGAAAGGGTTAAAAATATCTCAAGAGTTTAAATTATACTACAGCACATTAATCATTTTCATTTTTGAAATCAAAGTAATACATTTATTTATAAACCCAATCATCAAGTTCGTAAACCGGTCCAGTTAAATCTAAAATCAGGCTGGCCCAACAGGTAACCCAACACCCTTATCCATCTATCAACTCAGTCTGTGACCCAAAACAAAGCCAAAAATTGATGATCCGGTCTAAAATAACCCACGAGCCCATACACAATACCTAAATAACCCACCAGCCAACTGCCTCAAATGCTTAAACCTACAACTAGCCCAATACCCAAACACATGATCCAAGCCCAAACTGAGGCCCTAGCTAAACCCTAAGACCAACAGACTCAAACTATAGTTAAGGGTTGGCTAAACCTAGAGACTTTCTAGCTTCAACCGTCACCTCTAGGAAGATCAATCCCCGCTGCAACTGTATCAATGTCCAGTCAGTAGAGAGCATTAGTCTCTGGCCAGATCGTTTGTGTGTACACCTGAGCCCTCTAAGCCAAGGACCACCACCATGCCAGCACCTAATAAAACCATCCTCGCCGAATCACCTTCTAGGACCACTGGTCTCCTTTCCTAGTTGTCTCCATCCAAGCAACCCCTAAGATTTGGCAGTGGAGAATGATCAACGGAGAATAAAAATAGCCCTCCTTTATAATATGTAGAAAACGAGAGAAAATACACCTCGACGCTCGTTAAAACACAATGGAAGGACTCATATTTCTAGAATGGATGCAATTAGACCCCTTAGATAGATTCCATAAGTCGTAAGTTTATGATGGAGGCAACTCTACGCCCTTATAAAAAGACTGTAGAGACTAGAGAGTGCAGAGGTATCTTGAACATTTCGTTGTAGTGACGTTACTTATTTATAACAGAGGCATATTGACTCTTCTGAACGAACAATGAAGAGATCTAGAGAAATCATTTCAATTATAATATAGTAGAGGCATTTCAACCTATGTGGCATTGCAGGAGGAGTGAAGGTATATCTCTATGTTTCCTAAGGAATACTTGAAGTTGGGCTAAAAGATCTAAATGTTATGGCTACATAGCAGAATATATTAAGGTTCCTGGAGAAATATAATTAGAAAATACTCTTGGAAGATTTCATTACTTAAGTATAGGAAGAAGAACTCTGATATATGCGTGTATTAGAGACCTGAATAGGGAGTAATCCTGAAGGCCATTGATGGGGTTGCCATTAGAGATTAGACACTGATTACCAAAGTTACCTGAATGAGAGGTCATCCGAAGGATTACCGCGGGAGCTTTTTGTGTCATCATAGGCTATACGTTGATTTCCAAGGTGTGACTCTTTGTATTCCTTAGAAAACTCCCTCGTTGTTTCTCTGTTGAGCCCTTTCTATGCTACCTTTGGTTTTATGGTAACATTATAGTGATGACAATCCATGGTAGCAGCAT